GGATATTCTGCAGATCCAATATTTTTATACGGATTCATATAGATTCACAGTCAGCAGAACAAAATGATTTTGTTTTAGAAAATCATGTGGAGTAGAATTTCATTATATTTCAGGTAATGTCTAATGAAAGTTAGAAAAAAAATGTTTCGTTCATGTCTATTTCAAACCGACTTTCTTTAACCTTGGCCTATTTTCTCTGATATGGAGTCAATGCCCCATTCTGAAACTGAAGTACAGAAACTGGCTACATGCATATAAAAAAAAAAGGTTTTGAAAATGAAACCATGCTATCTTAAGATAAGGTTAGGTAATTATTATATCTGACCTATCAATTGAGCAATTACAGTGGAACTGTGTAAAAAGATTTTATATGTTTTTTGTTCTATATTTTTATAGCCACGTAATTATCCCTTTTTTTGATAGTATATCACATCTCAGTTCATTTGTTTGATCTTCAATCCCATTCCTTCATTTATTTCAGGAATATGGTAATCATAATTTCCCGAATACCAATGTACCAAATAAAAATGAAAATATAACATAGGAATTCGATGAACTGGTGTTTTAGAATATTCCAGTTCAGGATTTGTATGGGTGTTTGTAGAGACTCATGAGATTGTACAGTATCATACGCATCTATCATCTTAATGATTTTTCATGAATACCTTCAAACTGCCCGATGAATGTTCAGACTGTTGATAGTTGTCTTCTACCATCCTTATTTCATGTAATGAATATCATTTGTTTCACGCTTTTTCAACCGAATGAAAGTCAATAAAATTTATTGCAATTTACTATCAAAATGACCAAAAAACATGAGCCGCGGCATATTCAGGAATGAAAAATTGGATTTTTCCAGAAATATCCAATCTTGCTCCAGATCATATAAAAACAGAATATGTGTTGAAGTTATTCAAAATATCAGTGATCAAATGCCTCAAAAATAAAAATTCAACGAAGCGGCTATGGGTTTCTCGGAAGAGAATAAAGTCTCGTTCTGTGGTGATTAGTACGAAAATAGATTCAATTTAATTGGAGGAAAGGAGTTGGTTTACAAATATCAGCGTTGATGGAGTGTGTACAATTGCAATGTTGCAAATCAAGCTGTTGCATGTTTAGCCGATTTCCACGCTCATTAAATATCAGTTACTCTTCCTGGTATAACACTGAAATCGGTCTAGACTGAATAAAATGCTATGCTTCACTGATAACGTCTGCTGATGTTACGAACATCAACGATGTATACGAGGGTGGTCTAAAAAGTTTCAGAACTAACAAAAATGCAAGACATTTCTTCAGATTTTTTCATTTTTCAATATACTCTCTTTTCAACTCTCCACACTTTCCCTGTGACGCTTTCGTCTTTGTAACCCGTACAAATAGTACTAGACGTTCTTCTCTGCAAAATAATTGTTCAAGAAGGTTACTGTCTCTTCATTCGCCAGAAATATCTGTCCTACGAGCGCGATTTTCAGATGAGGAAATAAAATGAAGTTGCTTGGCTAGATCCGGTGAGTGAGGAGGATGGACGAGCAGTTTAAACCTTTGTTCTAGGATTTTCGTCATGGAAACCGCTTATGTGTGAGACAGTGTATTGCCTTGGCAAAATAGGATTATGCAAATGAGGCCGGTTTTCCGCAAGTTCTGCCTTTAGCTTGTTAAATATTGATGCGTATCCATCCACAAAACAGTTTTTGTTATTTTTTGAGTCGGTTTCACCCTAACAGTCCACTGTTTGGACTGTATTTTTGTTAACGGCGCATAAATATGTATCCAAGTTACATCTACAATAATTAATTGGCGCCAAATCTCGGATTCATTGCGCTGTGCCACCAGAGCATTGGAAATGTCCATGCGAACATGTTTTTGGTCTCCCGTGGGTTTTACTACCTATCGGGTGCGTCCCCAGGTGGCGGATACGGAAACGGCCAGGGGATTGGAGGCCCTGTCCGGGAAGCCAATGTGGCCTTACGGACAGGGTCGCCGGACTTCTGGTCAGTGGATGAAATAAGTAAGTTGAGGGGAAATAAAACCCCCAAAAGCCTTTGCAAAACATGCCACCGTGGACCAGCCTACCTAAGATAAGGTGTAAGGAATCATGCCGATAGCTGAATGACCTCAGGATCATATGTGGTCACAAACGATCTCCTTGGGGAACTGGGCGAAACCTTCGTAATCAGCCTACCTCTGATAATGCGGGGCTCTGTCAGAGGTGACCAACTTTTCCCTTGCTACTCGTGGGAACACACTTGAATGAAACAACAGAAACAACAAAAACAAAAACCAATCCCAAAGCTGGACAGAAGTGCCCACTTCAATCTACCGCTTAGAATTAGGCTGAACATAGTAGATCACCTCAAACAGCAAGGGTACTTCCTGCGGCGGGGGCCAAGAGCTCCGCCTTGAATAAAGGCAAGGAACCGGCTGCCCTTGCAGGAAAGCTCCCTCATGTGTGCACCTCCACGGAGGGAACCCCAAGAAGATTTAAGAAGCCGTGCAACGACACCTTCCTGGAAAGGACAGGAAGGACGATGATCTAGGAGGACAACTCCTCGGGAGCATGTACAATGGGTCTCTTGTGGCCTAAGTGCTGTAAGTCTTCACTCACCCTCCCTAATCTACAGATACCAGATACCAGATGTTGTTGGTCTAACATGGAAAAACTCGGCACCCAACACGCGGACAGCTTCCTCATGGCCTAAATGTTGATTTGAAATGTTACAAACACGTTATTTTGACATGTTCATAACCTCTGCTATCTCTTCCACTTCGCTTCGGTGATCAACTAGCATCATTTGGTGAACTTTGGCAATGTTGTCGTCGGTAGTTGTAGTTTTTGGACGTCCTGAACATTCATTGTCTCCCAAGCTCTCATGTCCACGTTTAAATTAAGCTGCCCAAAATTTCAATATGATGAATGATGGTGCAGAGTCTCCATATACAGAATCCATCTCATCTCTAATTTGAGTAGGTGTATTGCCTTTCAATAATAAATATTTATTGACAGTTCGATTCTCGATTTTGTCCATTTTCATGAAAATACTCACATCAACTCACTCAAACGACTGTTACATAAAAAGTACGCGTCCAAAATGGCTGAAATTCACACACAACTGAATTCACTAGCTTCCATTTATCTGGATTATTACATTTATAATCGGAAAGTCACGCAGCTACATATTAATATACTTACAAAAAATGTTATGATACGCAAGACCATTGAAAGTTAACCCTACCCAATTGATAATATGATAGAACTGATCAATACTTAATGATAATCTTTCAAATCAGCTCAGTACGATGTGGAGTACCACAAGGTTCTAATCTTGGACCTCTTTTAGTTTTAATTTTCATTCATGATCTGGCAACCTCTCTCAATATTCCTAGCCTACTATTTGCAGACGACCTGAAACTTTATTATAAAATCGACGACATTACTGACTGCCAACCTGAACAACCTGAATTAGATGTAATCAAACTTTGGTATAACGATGATCGTCTACAACTGAATGTATTCAAATGTAAAATAATATCATTCACAACAAAAAAGCGAACTTAAATGTACGATTATTCATTCAACAATACTACAATCAACCGCGTACACGAGATAAAATATCTTGGTATAACATATGACAGTAAATTAATATATTCAACACATATAACGAATATGACTGCTGATGTAAATAGCATGCAGAAATGGCCAAAACTTCGGAAGAATTGCCACCTCAAAGTTGCTATATTTTGCGTATGCCAGATCTGAGTTAGAGTATAGCTTTGTGTTATGGAATCCAATTTACGACTATCAAAAAACCTCTATTGGGAGCGTGCAGAGAAAGTTCCTGAAATACTAATGTCTAAAAGTTGATGAACAATATCCCACAAGAGGCATCGATCATAACATTTTGTTGACACGATTTGATATGACATCTTTGGAAAATTGGAGAGTTATCCTTGGTTTAAAATTCCTGCCTGAATTACTTAACAACAATATTGAGAGTACGGTTCTTTTACCCGAGATCAATTTCTTAGTACCAAGAAGTGAAGGTCGACACAATCTGAAATTCTATTGCGAAGTATCACGCACAAATGTTATGCTACGTTCATCATTGAATTTTATGTGCAGTAGCTTCAGTAAAATCTGTGAAAATTGCGATATTCATTTCGACTCTCTGAAAGCCTTGGTATCAAGTACGAGTATCAACAATGACTTTTAATAATACTATAAATAATATTTTTGTCAGTACTGCTACACTGCATGATTTGTAACTTTCTGTGTTATATACTCTATTTTTCAATCCTCTTTTGAAATTCTACGTATATGAATATTTTATATATACTTTGTTTCCGTATTTACTTTCATACATTTCTATATTCCATTATTTTCAATATTTATTTCATATATACTCTCTAATAATAGCATTTCTTGTAACTGGGTACTCCTGTTGAAAATAAATGGTTTTTTTATGACGTATTAAAATAAAACACTTCATTGTGAGATTGTGACGTGTGATGTTGCTATTGTATAGCGAAACATTTATGACGTATCCGATTGAATATCAAAAGTGAACGCTGAAAGATCGATGCAAAATTAGTGAATTTATGAGTTATAGATTATCCTATTGGGAATCTATGGGTATTTCACTGATTTCCTGAACATTGGCAAAGTAGTATCAATCAGAATTGGAATGATTAAAGATGATGACATTTCTAATCACTTTTGAGGAGTATCCACAACCTTAAAATTTTCTATTGGAGAGTTTGAAACCATTCCTAAATGAGGTTGATGTGATTTGTGGCATAGATTTTCAATATTCTATCGAGGATCTCATTATATATTTTTCAAAAATATAACTGTTTGACCAACATCATAGTGAGTAATGAATTTAGATTACATGCATGATTTTGTTCACTTTCGATATCTGTTTACAGTTGTTTTTCTGATTGATTATACAACCTGCTCGGAAAGAACTATACCTATAATTTCAGAATTGAATACTAACCTCCTCTCACTTCACATAAGAGATTGACATCCGAACCTTCATTGTAGGGTCCAATTAATACTGATTTGTCCACATGTTGGCCATCGTATATTTGTATATGTTGAGGAGGCACTGAAACAAAAAAAAACATTAATACGTTTTCAAATTCTGATGTTATTAATGAAAACTGTTTGATCTGGTAAATATTCGTTTTGAAGGCACCCGGCAATTTTGAAATAATTCTTGAGTGTACTTACGCATATTGATGCTTAGATTACGAATCTGGAAAAAAAAAGTGGCGCTCTTCCTTATTTACAAAGTTACGGCCCTTCATAGTTTAGAAGAGGACAACTTTTCAGCCTTCTTTTTCACAAGATAAACTATTTAAAAACACAAGCATTCATTCACTAGGTCACCTTTACACCTTATTCTTCCTTCCTTGACACCTTTCACTTCAACAATTAACATTTTTCCAATAAAAATGTAAAAAAAAATGTACACAGCTGCTTTTTGGTTATATATCTTATTTTTAAGTTTTTAAGGTAAATGGCATAGTTGGTATGACTGATGCAAGCATTCGTGCAACTTTTTTATAAGGAAAATGTTGATTGTTGAATTGAAAAGTATCAATTGAGGAGAAATAAGGTGTTAAGGTGACTTAGTGAATAAATGCTTGTGTATTTAAATACATAGTTGATCTTGTGAAGAAGAAGGCTGAAAAGTTGCCCTTTTCTGAATTTTGAAGGGCCGTAACTTTGTGAATAATAAAGAGCGCCGCTTTTTTCTTTCGGATTCGTAATCTACGCATCAAAATACGTAAGAACACTTAAACATCATTTCAAAATCGCCGGGTGCCCTCAAAACGAATATTTACCTTTGATCTTTGTCATGTTTGATATTACTGGAGTTTTTTCCCAACACCAAAACGTTATTTTTAACACTTCGACACGTGTTTCGATCACCAAGTGATCATCTTCAAAGAGGAAGATTAAAACTCTTCCTCAACACCTCGACACGTGTTTCGATCACCAAGTGATCATCTTCAAAAAGGAAGAGTTTTAATCTTCCTCTTTGAAGATGATCACTTGGTGATCGAAACACGTGTCGAGGTGTTAAAAATAACGATTTGGTGTTGGGAAAAAACTCCAGTAATATTCATTACTACACAAAAGGTTCCAAACAGTGCATCAAAAGTAAAATTGAATGATAATGATGATTATGATATGTGATAGATGTGGGTGATAATTGATGGAAAGTCATGATTATGTAACCCTGTAATTATGTGATATTTTTAATGAACGGTTTATACTTCAATACTAACCGAGTTCGAAATACATATATTATTCAAAAACTTTTGCTTCATTGTCGAGGCTAACTCATTTTATACTATGCAGAGCTTCATCAAACAATCCTAAAATGTAATTTAAAAAATCAGTTTATCGCACCTTTCGTAACATCAAACCAGTGACCAACTGATTTTTCAAAGAAAAAAAAGCACTACAGAAAGATCCTCAAGACGCTCTGAGAGCGGTGCTTTTGCGAAAGTAGCGATTCACATTGAATTTGAATCGCTGGATATCAAATCCATTCGAAAAAACGTTCTCAGAAAGTTTATTCCGCATAAACGCAGTTCTACAAATGAGTTCTTGGACAGTGAAGTTCGAGAGTTACTGAGTTGAACCTCAGAACGATGAGCAGCCATAGTCCGTTGTGAATTTCTGATATGTATTGCTCTTGGTGAAATCAAATGTGACAAGTCACTTGAACACTTCCCATGAAAGTATCTATAGGAGAGAGACAAATCCCAACCTTTCTTCGATATTCCAGACTATCTAGGTTGACAGTGATGTTCGCGTTTCCAATCAGACAAATGCCTCTATTCTAGGTAGCAGCTTCAGGGTATGTTTAGGGGCGGAGCTCCATACAATAGTCTAAAGAAGGTATGTTCTGAGCTTTTCAAAGCATCAAAAGTTGCTGAGGTGTGTACAGTTTTCTGATTAGGAACAGTGTTCAAGATTTTGAAAAGCAGCATTTGCAATTCCAGCGACATGCTGTCCATTTCAACCTCCAACAAACTTATCGAAGCAGAATTGTCCCCCTGTCATTATAATATCCGGTTCAGGTACATTTAAATTTTTGAAGAAAACCGATGCCTGGTTTTTTGTGGTTCTGAATTCAACATGATTACTTCCACTCCAATTCGAAATCAATTCTGGATCCTCATCATGATATGCAACCTCCCGCGGCTGATGAAGATGAACATCCGCAGCTGATGTCCTGGAATCCGAATGAAATGACGCTGTCGTCAGCAAATCAATATATTGGATATATGAGGAAAGGTTAACGTAGTCAAGCTGTCAAGATGAAAATGAAAATGAAAATCTGATTCTCTACACATTGGCTAATAATGTTACATTCGAGGATCAATACATTGGTTGAATAGAACTGGCCGATACTTTCAATCCATATTAAAACTAATTGATACAGTTTATTGTATGATATTCACTATAAAGGGTTTTACAAAAACGGCGACACGTATTTCGGTATACAATAGCTTTATCAAGCGTAAAGTTTACGCTTGAAGAAGAACTGTTTCGTATTAACCGTATTTGTAATATTCAACTGCTATTCAACCAATTTCAATGTTAGAAAACAAATATATCAAAGAGGAATTATTCAATTCTATTTGGTCATCGAGTAACTTTACAAGTGTGCCCGTTCCAAAATTGAAGGTCGACTCTTTCTGTTGTATTGATAATCGCATATGCAGGAAATTTTCACTGAATATTCCTACACTGCCGCCTGTCGGATATAATCCAACGCCCTTCGTGGTATTAGCCAGGGGAGTAGTTGTTTTCTGATAGGCGTCAGTCCATTCAACCTACTGTGTAGGTATATTCGAGAGTGGTTCGAAAGTTTAAAGTTCATTTCTTTAGATTTGTTTACTGCCAGTCTTCAAGCACACCCCACTGACTAATAAGAAAGAAAATGATTTGTAAATGTTGAATGTTGAAATTGAGAAAAGAACGAGAAGCGGAAACCAAAATGTTTTTTTTTCAAAAACTGATATCTCCTAAAAAATACCCCTCTCCGTTGAAAAAAAAAACAATATTTCTGACATTTCAGTAGGGTGGGATATCTGCAAGAAAATGTCGCCAAAAGCAAACGACAAAACCTACTTTCAAAATGACAAGTAAGCCACAAATTTTCTTTTCATTCCGCTTTGTATAGATAAAATGTAAATCACACCGAATATCATCTTATTTTCCCGGAAGCGGTTTTATTTCCACAAAAAGAAGGGTTTCTTCAGGAATTGAAATTAGGGTCCCGTTCTTTAGAAAATGCCGTCTTGATCTGTTGCCGCTGAGGGTGCTCTTGAGTCGTTTCGATAAATGTGACCAATTCAGGAGCTCTTGACGGGGGATCATTCGTAAGAAAACTGGGTGAAAAACTCTTCTGATATCGCAATATCGAAGTAGGTGGTTGAGAAGTGATCACTATCATTGTACATTCAATCGATTGAGAACTACGAAGAAGGTAGTGATGATCCGATATGAAGCAGATGAATGATATAACAATAACGATCGAGATATCTACTGTATTTAGGAAAATATCCGACTATGGCTGAAAAATGTGTCCAGTTCTGCTTGTTATTTGAAGAATTTCTCAATTTCATTGATGAAAATGATAATAATCATCAGTGGAAGGTAGAGTAAGTCACAGGTAGAAGGCGGATTATTGAAATGTAACTGCATTATTACTGCCAGCATAAATACTTGGAGTTCCTCTGTGGTCTCTTCTACTTTCATGCACACATATGAGGAGTTCAGATTTCCATGTTATCGACATGTGCGATGCTCCTTTATAAAAATATACAAAACAGTGGTTTTGAAAATGATACAGTTTGATTTCTGAATCCAGGGCTAAGGATAAGTAAGTAAGTAAGTAAATTTATTCAATTCATTAATAGGACAAAAATACATAGTCGTTCATCTATGACAAAAGGATAAAAAAATATAATAAAATTGAAATAAAACTGAAAATAAAATAAAATACATGAATAAAGATACATGAAATGTAGAGATTATACAATTCTAATGAAAGTTACGACTACCTAAGCAAGCTTGTGTTGTAGCCAGAAAACTAAATATTATATCTTTTCCTCTATAANTCAATCGTGAAAGCTCATGTTCTTATAGAGAGAATAATTATTTCAAATCAATAATAAGTTTTTTTGGGGAAGAAAGTTTTTGGCTTTCTACTACTCCATCTTGATACAAAAAATGGGAGAATCTTCCAAAAAAAGAAAGGAAGCAATCAATTTCAAAAGAAGTAACTCTATACATGGATGTGTAGATCGTGCAAAGAAGTAATTTTCACACAAACTGGAAGAAAAAGCACTCCTGAAACAGTTACTTACATATAAACATATACTGTGTAGAAATCCTGTGAATGATATCTGCTGTTTGGAATACAAACTGAGTAGAGAAAACTGTTTTTTGTGTTCATATGAAAGTATTTGTTTCGAAAGAATTTCTGTTCCGTATTATTCAACGTTTATATGAAAGTAGCTGTTTCTGGAGGACTTTCTCTTGCAGTTTGTGCCTGAAAGTTACTTCTTTGCATGATCTACACATCTGTGTATTGAGTTACTTCTTTTGAAATTAATTGCTTTCTTTCTTTCCTTGGAAGATTCCCCCATTTTTTGTATCAAGATACAGTAGTACCTAGAAAGCCAAAAACTTTCTTTCCCAAGTTATTAGTCGCTTCTAAAAATATACCCCTTTCAATTCAAAAATAATAATTTGTTTGGATTTCTTTTTCTCCATCTCCATTAAAAAATGTGGAATACTTCCAAAGATAGAAAGAAGCAATTGAATTCCTTTCTTCGAATATTCATCATTTTATTACATGAGGAAATAGAAGTAGAAAATAAGCAACTTTTTTCTAAACATCAGTATCTCCTGGAAATAGTCCCCTTTGGATTTAAGTTACTTGAATAAATATGAGTTCACAGGGATGGAGGTAATCATTCAGTTTGCTCTGCTGTATTTCAGATCGAATCACTTTATTGAAATTCATTATTTGGAATGTGAGATGAATAAATAATGTGATAAATTGGACAAATTGATATATGGGCATATTGTATATCATCAATTTGTAATTTTGTACAGTGATAAACAATTCGATATCGAGTTTTGCTTCCCTAACTAACTGAAAAACAGCACTACACAGATGAAAAATAATTTTCCAAATGTATTTCGAATTACTAGTGGGAAAATCGAGATTTGTATCAACTTCCAACATAAATTTAGGAAAGTGGTCGCTATTTTTTCAAGACGTTCAAATGATCAAAACGAACTGATATGGAGAAAGAACAAATCTGGCTTTCTTCTTCCCCATCATTGAACAAAAAATGTGGGAAACTTTCTCAGAAAGGAAGAGAGAAAATGACTCCTTACATTTAAATGATACAACTCTTTAATATTGTTACGGCCGGCATTAATTTTTTCAGGGGCTGATTTACAATAATATATTCCAATCATGTAGGTGATATAATGATTATTATTATAATATTACCTTTCCATTGAATGAACTGAATCATTTTCATAGTTATTATATTGGAAAAGAGATTTTTCCGAGTGAAATTACAAAAGGTAATCTCTTATAAAGTGCTTACATCGTAAGGTCTGGTAAATTCCAGATATTTTTCTCGGGAGAACTTATCTAGTTGAAGCTGGAATGATTCTTCAACGTAACATGCCTAAAGGACTGCCAATATCCATGATGCTCTGTAGGTGGCTCGGGGAGTTATTAACATTGCCTACCCAGGACACGAGGCTAATGACCAATGCAGTCGATGCCGATAACACCCAAAAAATGCCAAGTTCTGTACAAAAATGGGGTGATTGTTCAAATTTCGCCGGCTACGTACATTCGATTGACAATTGTTTGATTTTTTATGTTGATACACTCGTTTCGAACATATGTTCACAGGTTTGGTGAGAGGCATAAAAATTAAAAGTGTTTTGGGTGTTCGGCGATTTTTCGCTGTTGCAAAAAATGATCGAAGAATTGCGAAGAATGCGCCGCCTGCTAGGAGCAATACGAAGGGAACATCCGGTATTTTGGAAAAACAATTCATAGCTTTTGCATCACGATAATGCATCCGCCCACTCGTCATTGCTTGTTCGTATTGTTTTGTCCGAAAACAACACCGTAATCATGCCTCAG